GCTACTACCTGGAGTCTATCATTCTCAGCCGCCAAAAGTGCTACTATAGACTTCTCTCTGAAAATCCACCGTCCTCCTATATGTGATATAGACCATTATGTGGCGAGTTCATAAAACCTTCCTGCGATCGAAACTGATCCGAGCAAGCTCCCTATTAAAATATTTCGCCTTGCGCAAAAATGGCGCCAGAAAAGTTGGCCTTCTTCGTCTGGTATATACTGTATTAAGTCCAATGGCAACTTTCGGCGCACCACTTCTTGACAGCGCTCCTCCCACCACGATTAATCGTATTGAAAATCCAATACACACTGCTCTTCGCACGGCGTTGGGTGTTCCTAAGTCCACTCCNGTTCCTCCCACCACGATTAATCGTATTGAAAATCCAATACACACTGCTCTTCGCACGGCGTTGGGTGTTCCTAAGTCCACTCCGTTACCTCGCTTTACGCCGAAACAGGCTATATTCCGTTACAGACAAAGATATATGCCAAAGACAATATTTCTTGCCATCGTCCAAATATCCAGAGGTCCGTTTAGCCCCCTACACTCAATTTTTTTCACGGCACCCTTACGTTTACCAGCGCCCGTACGTTTCCCTGGTGTTAAACCATCTCTGCCGGGAAGGTCTATCAATTACTCGCATCTATCGTCAAAGGCATATGCCACCGAGCACAGTTAGTGTTTTTCCTCATCTTCGTCTTGACGAGTTATCATTTTCTACCAACGACCCTCCAGAGGTCACGTGTGCACGTTTTCAGGAACTGCTGGAATCTTCCTGGCAGGGCAAATTCTTCTTGGGGGGCGGATTCCTCCAAATATAGTACCTGAACGGCGATAGGTGTACTTTTTCCGGCTCGTGGACTCCGGGAAACTTGGCCTTTACACTAGCATTGTAGTGTATTTGGCGCCGAGTCTCTAGGAATAAAACGAGCACTGCAAATCAGTTCAATCCTTGACAATCTGACTGTCATTTTTTCAGACAGAAAGTCAGTCATACAGGCAGTGGGTAATGTCAATTTTTCATCCCCAACTATAATAATCGACTTAGCAGCTAAAATCAGTTTGCATTCCAAACCAATCGAGATTGGGTGTATCCCGGGTTTTGCATCCGCATTAATGAGCCTGCAGAAAAGGCGGCGAGAAAAGACAACCCATCTGGCTCCTGGAGGCAGTCCCTGATTGCCCGCGATCTAATCCGGGCTATGCGGGATACTATTATCGATTCCTACATCGACTCCTGGTCTACTAGTTTTAGACTAAAAGGTCTAGATCACCTCCGGCCTGTTGTTCCCTGGCCTTATTCATAAGCCTCGTCTCGCTTTGCCGAAACACTCTTGGCCCGCCTTCGCACCGATACCCCGCTAAACGGATTTCTTTATTTTAGAGGTCTATGCGTCTCACCCGATTGCCCGAACTGTGGCGCTCCGCAAACATTCTGTCATTTCTCGATTACTTGTCTGAAGTATAAGGAGGCCCGTCAAGACCTCTGTCGCACTTTATCTATAGAGTTCACAGTCATCCGAACACTCACACCAATTTACTGGGACCACGCCGACCTCCCTCCTCGCCAGCACGTGGAGGCTTTAGAACGTTTTGTATATCGTTCAAACTGGTAAATCTAAACACATTGTGAAGTACCCAAATTTTCCATCTGCTATGAGTCTAATTCCTCACTATAAAAATTTACCTGTACCCATCTCTGCCAAAATCTTTTACTGGTGACGACTTGAGACATGAAGAAGTCGAAAACGAGGAGAAAGAATTTTCTGATTTTGAAACTAACGCCTCTACTTGTGAATCTAATTTATTAACTCGAGGTGAGCTACATGAACTTCTTAGGCATCTGAACGTGTCTAAAGTAAAGGCAGAACTCTGAGTTTCTCGACTAAACCGTTGTCATTTACTTCATCGGACAACTAAGGTGCGATTTTTCATAATCGTCAAGAGGATTTTGAAGACTAGTACTGTATTGTGAAGAAAGTGGTTTTATTTATTGCAATAATATTAGTGTTGTGATGTATGCACTTGATAATAAACATAATACCACAAAACGGAGATTTTCATTGATTCGTCTAAGATTAGTGTTAGGCTGTGCTTTTACCCAATCGAAACAAATTTCCTTCTGTGCCATTAGCTTATTCGACTAAAATAAAAAAAAACATGCAAATATGAAAGTCGTACTTGAAAAAAACTCATTATCAAAAGTACAATGGATCATATGTTGTGATTTAAAACTCGTTGCATTATTAATTGACTATAGTGAATTTTGTTGTGTGAGTGGAACAGCAGAGACAAGAAAAATCATTACCTGAAGAAGAAAATGCGTGAAATTTTTATTCCTGGCCAGAAAAATACCGTTATGCCCCATTATTCAATGCTGACATGATTCTCCTACTCACGTCATGTAAAGTTAAGACTTTTCAAAAATTTTGTCAATGTAATGAATGCAAACAATGCTATTAATATATTTCATTATATGACGGAAAAATTTCTTCATATAAGTGATACTAAAATTCAAGCTGGAATTTTCGTAGGTCCACAAATAAGAACTTTAATTCAAGATGTGGAATTTAAATCTTCTTAAGTTAAATATATGAGATATAATATGTCTTTAAAATGCATATCTAGGATTTCCACCTGGACTTTTTCTCGGACAATTTTGGTAAAGCTGTCAATGACGAACACATGTTGCGTTCCAATCAAAACATCTCTATCATTGGAAAAAAGTATGAAGGCCAGTGCAATTCTAGAATGCTTGCCGATTACTATTGGACACTCGAGAAGAATTTTCCAAACGCCAAACATAACAAAAGTTTTCGGCATTTTATAAAAGATAAATCTATAAGTGTATGCATTGTGTGTAAATAAATATTGTTTTACATTTAAACTGGCTGTCACAAAAAAATCAGACGTCGTGGAGAAAACCTGTTTATATATTTGAAAACAGCACAAAATATTCTATTAAAGCCAGGTATTTCGATATGTGTGCTAAAGAAAGTTTTCAGTTTACTTTCCAGTTTTATCGGATTGGGTTAGAATCTCTCGGTCGAAATGAATGAGTGATGCCGATAAGTATGTAAAATGTAAGGCACCGATGTAAATCACTACAATAATTGTTTGAAATGACTTGAAAAATGTTTGTAAGTTCGAATATATATGATTTTCTTCGCCGAATCGTTGAGTGAAATGCGCTGGAAATAGTTTCAGGTAATTCGTCCGAGTAGCCGAAACATACGAGCCCAAAACAAAATATTAAACTTGCTTCAACTTTATGCAGTTGCAGAAAGGAGGAAGCGGGAGAAAATACACCTGAAGAATTTATGGAAAAATTGCAGTGTCCTTGAGTTTACAGTTTAAATAGATATTTTAGCGGATTAAGGGTGCCGATTGGCTTAGATCTACTTCTTCTAAGATAATGAGCCGTAAATGTAACTTCTGCTTAAAAGTTTGTCAGTCTCCCGCCGCTTTAAAGGCTCACTTGAGAACTCACACCAGAGAACGGCCATTTACGTGTAATTTTTGCAACGGCACTTTCACTTACAAAGATAATTTAAACAGACACATCAGAAAGATCCATGCAAAAGAAGAAACTCCATCTTGCTCCGAAGTAAGTGTATAAATATGTTAATGACTAAACTTTTAATACACAATGAATTAGACTGAAAAGTTTATAATAATAACTTTAGTTATTTAATGAGCACACAATGTTTCCATTTTTATTCATCGTATATATTCTAATTACTCGCATTTATTCCATTCGATTCTCCCAGTAAATATGTTATATCGTAACTAACAAAGTATTATCTGTATTAAACATATACAACGATTTTGAATTCTTTGTCTAAAAACAGCGATTAATAGCGCAATTTGAAAATTTTTTATAAGAAGTTCGGGTCATTCGATATATGGCAGGTTTCATAACGTTTCTGTGTCATTTCATGTATTTCAAGTCAGATATTATAATTAATTTTTTACATTTCAAATTATTAAATTCAAGTTTACTTCAGACATTTGATATTTTTATTGATAAAACATTATTTGTACTAAATGAGAATTAACGGACATCGAATTGTTTTTTTTTATTATTTTATCACATCAAATAACGTTTCTGCCTATTGTTTAATGTCAGAGATAAACGTATTATTTTTATTATAATTTTCAGCATGGCAAAAAATTTTGGTGAGGCCTTTATTTGATATTTATATACACAATACATATATATAAATATGCTATATACAAATGAATATATGCATAAATAAATTCATTAACATATTTGCTTAATATGCGTCACAATTAGATTGTTCTTAAAATATTTTGTAAAGTACTGAAGTGTTTTTAATGAAGATTGAGAAACATTAACGAGTTTTCGAAACTCAAACTGTATACCTATGTAACACTTATGTCATGCATGATAATATAGGGGAGACCGGGGCAAGATCGGCATGTTAAGCTTTACTTAAATTTTGTGTAATAAATTCTACTGTAAACTGAAAAAATGGCTTTGCATATTGTCTATTGGAATGTTACCTTACTATAGAACTAGTTAAAATCAGTTTGGAAATAAAAACAATTAAAATAATTACAAGTTTACAAGAAGAGAGAAATTGACAAAGTTGCCCCGGGTATAGGGGCAAGATCGGCAACTTCTCTCTTTTTGTAAAGTTGTAATTATTTTAATTATTTTTATTAAAGTTGCCCCTGGTATAGGGGCAACAGTAATGGGGCAAGATAGGCACGTATATAAAATTATGTTATTAACAATGTATAAGTTGGAATTCACTATTAAAACAAAGAAATACAAATCCAACACCCATTTAATATTATTACAACGAAATGCAAGTTCAAAGACATATATACATGAATAACAAATGCAAACATGTTTTCATTTATCATCTGTTTGATTTTTATCCTTTGCTTCTAATGTGGCTTTATGTTGCCGATCTTACCCCGCTAGTCATGATTTCGAAACATTAAGTACAACCCTGAGAACAGAATGCCAAGCCACGATCTGGCCACGTGAATAAGTTGAAGTTACATCCTTCTAACAGGAAAAGTAACTTTCGTTATCATGGAATTATAACAAAACCTGCCAATTCAATATAAATGGAAAAAAAATATTATATGGAATTGAACGAAAATGAAAATTTGCTTGATAATTCAACTACGCTTGTTGGAGAACAATAAAAACACTACACTCAACAAGCCACCAATAAAACTCAACTGCCTAACCTATAACCAAAGTCTCCTTTTAATTTGTTTTTTAAAAAAAGCGCTTGACAAACTTGCCCCGCATGCCGAAGTTGCCCCGGTCTCCCCTAATTGCACATTTTCCGATCACTTTTAGATTTTAATGGTTACTTTAAGAAAATTTCTCGCTTTTAGAACTATTAAAGAACACATTATATGTTCTGAATACGATCATAACAGATAAACAGATCAACTGATTAATTTCTCAATTATGTAATAAACGATTATGGAAAAATTGGCCGCCACTTGTAAATAATTTTATTAAATAAACGTTTTACTCTATTTGTGAGATTAACTAAGCAAATTCATTTTGAATTGCAGTACATAGAATATGTAATGATTTTACTCTCTCCATAAATTTGTCCGCAAAACATTTCAAGTATTCGCATGAAATTTAATTAAGTAAATTAAATCTTTTCTTAATTTCGTTGTCTTAAATCAGTTTTCATAATTTTTCTAAAAATAAGTGTTTATTGTTTAAATAACAAAAAAAATTATAAAATTTACGTATGAGAATTACAAAATTTTAATGATAACAGTTTTTTTAATTTGATGTAAAAATAATATAAAACTGTTTAGCTGGATTAATCTTCGTAATTAATATTTTTCGCTTTTCAAGAAATTTCAAGAAAACGCATCTAAACAACAGAATCCTTCGAACACATCATTTAATAAAACTTCGTCTGCACTAGGAAATGCAAATAATGACAACAACGACGATGAAAGATGCCAAGCACGCGACAAAGACGATAATCCTGAATCGTCTGTAATAGTATTTCAATGTCATTTATGTTCCTTCAGCACTCGCTCGAATGAGAAATGGATGGAACATAAGCAGTGTCATATGCAAGAAATTCCTTCCACTTCAACGGTAATTATTCCATTCGTTCTTTAAAAATATATTGTATTTTTAAGAATTCAGGTTTTAATTAATAAGAATTGTATATTTTGACTTTCCATTAAATTTAACACAGTTTACAATTAACTGTTAAATGAAGTATGAAATTCCTGTAACCTAACAGGTATAATTGATGACTCGTTGATCCATTTTGAATGAAATAATAGCGCACGTTTCATATGTAGTTTATTCAGAATCTTAACCGCATAAAAATCATATATAGTGGGTTATTGGTTAACGAACAAATCGTACAAAGAACACTTCACAGAACAAACACAAGAAGAAGCGACATAAAATAGTGAGTAGACTGAAAAGTTTGTAATAATAACTTCAGTTATTTAATGAAATCCATATTCCGAAATTTTATATTCATTCATCGCATACATATACACGCGGGACTTAATTAACGTAACCCCATAGCCAAAAGTCAAGGAGTGTTAAATCCGGTGAGCGAAGGGGCCATTCTTCTGTACAGTGACGGCTTATTAATCGTTCTTCAGTAAAGGTTCTTCTCAAGAACATCTTCACGTAGATTACTATGTGAGAAGGAGCCCTGTCTTGCATGAATTTCACTGTGTCAAAGACATTATGTTCCGATAAGCACACTATCACTTTCTCTCATAGAATTTGCAAGTAACACGTTTCAGTAATTGTGCACATTTTCCAGCCTGATATTTTACAGGGCTTTCAAAGAAAACAGGGCCAGAATAATGTACAAAGTGAAACCAGAACAAACAGTAACACCTGGTGAATGTAGGGCTCTTCAGTGTAAGCATGTGGGTTCTCCTTTGCCCATATTCTGCAGTTAGGAGTATTGACTGTACATGCAATGAAAAATGAGCCTCATCTGTCCACAGGATATTGAGCAGCCATAGTGNTATTTTTTTTCAAAAAATTTTTACGTGTTTTTCTAAACATAATTTTAATATTGAGGTGAAAGAGATTATTCCTAGTTTTTTTAATTCATTAAATCGTTTTAATATCGATACAACAAACTTACATTACTTGATTTATTTTAGTATAATTTGTTTACCGTTCCATGCAATGAAAAATGAGCCTCATCTGTCCACAGGATATTGAGCAGCCATTGTAGATCTTCGTCGATATTCGAGAAGTCCCAATTTGCAAAGTCCACTCGCTTAGCTTTGTCATTTGGTAAGAGCTGGCAACCAATATATGTACAATTGTAATATACCATGAAGGATTTGCAATAACGATGTCTTCGTTATTCCAGTTATTCGTGCCAGTTCGTGTGCTACTTGGGCACTCGTTGACTGTACCCTCAGAGTTTCCATTTGCGAAGCCACATCGGAGGTCCGAACCTCTGATAAACGTAGTGCACCTTGCGTGGGCGATTACACAAACTTTCCGTTTCTTCGAAACGTCTTACTAGGAAAACCAATCCGGCAGGAGTGATTGAACCTGAACCTTTCTTCACTCACTTTTGTGTCCTAAACCTTTGTAGAGTTTCATCCGGCGATTCGTGGCTGAGATAACACAACTTCACCAATAGTGCTTTATCCACCAACATCAACATCATAATGAAAAAAATATGTCAGCGCCAGTAACAGGAAAATTCATAAATAAGCTGTTAATCGTATACTCTGCATAATGTAAAACCCAGATTTGCACAATTCCAGCGATAATCTTGCTTTCAGAGCCCTCTATCGACAAAGATTTAAACTATTTCCTTTTCTCTATTAAAAAAATCCGTCTTCGTGAGAATAACTTTTACGCAAACCGCATTAAATATACCAATTCTTCAATTCAAACACAAATTATTTATCGTATTCATACAGACACTTGGCAAATCACAGGGCAAATCAACTGAATAAAATTTAATTCTGCGATTTGCCCAGTGTCTGTATGAATACAATAAATAATTTGTGTTTGAATTGAAATAAATTACTGACACGGTTTCAAAAATACCAGAATACTAATTCTTTTATGAATTTTTAAACGATTTACAGGTTTATGAGACACCCTGTATATTTGAATTTTTATTATTACACATAAATAAACATAATAAAATATATATATATATTTGGGGTCTAGAACAAATTAATCAAATTTCCATAAATACCTACGGTAAATCGATAATCGGTTAACAAACAATTCGGATAGAGGACAAAGGTTCGTTAACCGATCACCCACTGTAGTTTATAAAGTTGTAAGAAACCATAATTATGTTTCTCAAACAATAATATAAATGACAAAAACTTATTGTATATTTTTGAAACCGTGTCTTCTTTTCGTTGAATAATTCATTATCACTACTCAGTGTATATACGGACAAATAAATAATCCCCGGCAAGTAAGAAATTTCCGAATAAAAAGTAATGATAGAATTACAGAGTGTTTGTATATGCAACAATTAGTGATAACAAATTAATCGACAAAACCTTAATTTAATCAAATGACTGAAGACAACGTCTGGTCCTAATAATGCTGTATCAGATGTTCGCACCGAATATTAGCTACAAGTAATAATTGAATCACTATTTCATAAACATCAAAGTTAATTACAAAGACTCAATAAATATATTTTAGAAAAAGTATTGAAAATGAACAGCCCGATGTGATTATCCCTGATTCGTCAATCTAAGTACGGCGTAGTGCAGAAATGATTGAAAAAAATGATAAAAAAAGTGAGCGAAGACAAAAGCAAGATTACAAGCTCAAGCCACTAAATTGGAAAAAAAATATCAGATCTGAAATTTTATGTATGCAAAGTAGGGGATGCAGTGAAAATAAGAGTAGCAATTGTGGACAGAGCGAGAGGCGATCAGAGCAATACATTGGCAGTGATATTAGCTACCAAAATTCCCAAATAATATCGCTTGAGAACAAATGACAGATATTTTCGTAGCTTTCTAACAGAAGCCTATTTGTGCTACGTGACTAAAAACCTCTTACAGAATGATATTCGGTATATTCATTAATCTCTTCGAGAATGCAGAAGAAAAACGTCGAATTTGCGAAGTAAGGAGTTTCATTATTGCTGCTGTAGAAAAGAGAAATTTAATTAAATGTAAAAGGATCAAGAATAAAAATTTATGTACAGTTCTTTCAAATGTCACGATGTTTCACATATTTTCGTAAGCAGTAAGAATTATTAAAGTTGTATATTTTTTTTCAAAAAATTTTTACGTGTTTTTCTAAACATAATTTTAATATTGAGGTGAAAGAGATTATTCCTAGTTTTTTTAATTCATTAAATCGTTTTAATATCGATACAACAAACTTACATTACTTGATTTATTTTAGTATAATTTGTTTACCTTCATATCCCACTTTATCACAACAAACAAACAAAAAAAAAGGAAAATCTCATATTTATGAAATTTGTGAAGTATAATTTGGAAATTATAAAAAAATTGCTTTAGTTATAGAATATCACAAATATATTTGTGAGAGTTTCCAGACGAGGTTTGATAAAAGATGAAAATGATCGTTAAATTCTTACACGTGAAAAAACGGTAAACAATGGCCTGAGTTATGAGTGCAGGTGTTATTGTTTTATAAAGAGTCACTGAGCAGAGTCGACAAAGAGGTATCGGATGGACACCTCGAATCGGACTTTTCCCGCGACTCGAAAAGGTTTCATCTTGCACCTGGAGATAAAAGAGAGGCCAATCGGGAAGCGAGGAATGAGACGAGGGACCAACCCGAAATGCGAATAGTGAGGAAAAACTATAAAAATCGGAAATTCAAGGTCGAAGGAGAGTCTCCTCTGGATTAAGCCTACGGTTGTGCTTTATCTANAAAAAAATATATATATATATTTGGGGTCTAGAACAAATTAATCAAATTTCCATAAATACCTACGGTAAATCGATAATCGGTTAACAAACAATTCGGATAGAGGACAAAGGTTCGTTAACCGATCACCCACTGTAGTTTATAAAGTTGTAAGAAACCATAATTATGTTTCTCAAACAATAATATAAATGACAAAAACTTATTGTATATTTTTGAAACCGTGTCTTCTTTTCGTTGAATAATTCATTATCACTACTCAGTGTATATACGGACAAATAAATAATCCCCGGCAAGTAAGAAATTTCCGAATAAAAAGTAATGATAGAATTACAGAGTGTTTGTATATGCAACAATTAGTGATAACAAATTAATCGACAAAACCTTAATTTAATCAAATGACTGAAGACAACGTCTGGTCCTAATAATGCTGTATCAGATGTTCGCACCGAATATTAGCTACAAGTAATAATTGAATCACTATTTCATAAACATCAAAGTTAATTACAAAGACTCAATAAATATATTTTAGAAAAAGTATTGAAAATGAACAGCCCGATGTGATTATCCCTGATTCGTCAATCTAAGTACGGCGTAGTGCAGAAATGATTGAAAAAAATGATAAAAAAAGTGAGCGAAGACAAAAGCAAGATTACAAGCTCAAGCCACTAAATTGGAAAAAAAATATCAGATCTGAAATTTTATGTATGCAAAGTAGGGGATGCAGTGAAAATAAGAGTAGCAATTGTGGACAGAGCGAGAGGCGATCAGAGCAATACATTGGCAGTGATATTAGCTACCAAAATTCCCAAATAATATCGCTTGAGAACAAATGACAGATATTTTCGTAGCTTTCTAACAGAAGCCTATTTGTGCTACGTGACTAAAAACCTCTTACAGAATGATATTCGGTATATTCATTAATCTCTTCGAGAATGCAGAAGAAAAACGTCGAATTTGCGAAGTAAGGAGTTTCATTATTGCTGCTGTAGAAAAGAGAAATTTAATTAAATGTAAAAGGATCAAGAATAAAAATTTATGTACAGTTCTTTCAAATGTCACGATGTTTCACATATTTTCGTAAGCAGTAAGAATTATTAAAGTTGTATATTTTTTTTCAAAAAATTTTTACGTGTTTTTCTAAACATAATTTTAATATTGAGGTGAAAGAGATTATTCCTAGTTTTTTTAATTCATTAAATCGTTTTAATATCGATACAACAAACTTACATTACTTGATTTATTTTAGTATAATTTGTTTACCTTCATATCCCACTTTATCACAACAAACAAACAAAAAAAAAGGAAAATCTCATATTTATGAAATTTGTGAAGTATAATTTGGAAATTATAAAAAAATTGCTTTAGTTATAGAATATCACAAATATATTTGTGAGGGTTTCCAGACGAGGTTTGATAAAAGATGAAAATGATCGTTAAATTCTTACACGTGAAAAAAACGGTAAACAATGGCCTGAGTTATGAGTGCAGGTGTTATTGTTTTATAAAGAGTCACTGAGCAGAGTCGACAAAGAGGTATCGGATGGACACCTCGAATCGGACTTTTCCCGCGACTCGAAAAGGTTTCATCTTGCACCTGGAGATAAAAGAGAGGCCAATCGGGAAGCGAGGAATGAGACGAGGGACCAACCCGAAATGCGAATAGTGAGGAAAAACTATAAAAATCGGAAATTCAAGGTCGAAGGAGAGTCTCCTCTGGATTAAGCCTACGGTTGTGCTTTATCTATAGTGTTGTGCTATTGCCGATCACCTAGGACGCCGTAGCTTAACATCGAACATCTGCATCGTCCAGCGATCCTTCTTGTCTGCCCGGACTACGACCGATCACCTGAACTCTCACCGTTTCATAGGAAAACAGAGATTTTCGAATTGTCCAATATCAAAGTAAGCATGAATCCGAACAAATAAACGGGTTTTCTCTTGTAAAATACTTGTTCTTCATTTGCCTCTTTCTCCATCACCCACATACGCGGTTTTCCTTATGCTCATTCTGACGCGGGATTAAATTGTATCCCCCTTTCAGTCGGCAATCTTACACTGGCGTCAGAAGTCGTATTTTAGGCCCAATCTACACCAGAGTTAACCTTACATTTGTATTTAAGCATAAGAATATTAAGAGTTACAAGAATATTTTTTCTTACAGCAATCGCAAGAAAGACAGGAGGAAGAAGTGCAAGCCGCCAACACACTGCTATTAATAAGAGAAGAAGGATTGAGAAGAACAACATTAGAAATGTTTGAAGCTGATAAACTGCCCTTTCATTCAGATGAACCTTCCTCTAAACAATAATTGTTAAATAAATTGAAAAAAAGACAAACTAATAAGATTCACCGAAAAATTTCAAACTACATTTTCTTTTGACAAATTATCGAAATAATTTATATCACTTGTGCTTAAGATAAATGTCTAAATTATTGAAAAGTTCCGACTAAATTTTAATCAATAAACACAATTTATTCAATCAAGTATCGATTTACTATTTAATGGAAATTAATTAGACTTGTAATATTTATTAGATGTATACAATAATTTCCCACATAATATGTCAAATGAATATCCACAGTTTTATGCAAAAAAGACGTCACAGTTGTCAGTCGTTTGGACAGATTGCCAATAAATATATTTCAATCTCCTTTGTATATCAATATTCAAGATTTATATCGGTGTCTTCTGAATTAAAATTAATTTCGTTAAATTATCTTATTAAATTATGTCTGAAATGTTATTAATTTAATACACCTAAGTACTCGATGAAACTATACACTCTCCCTCACCTCCCGCGGGGGAATTTCGATAAATCCCTTTTTAGTTTGCATTGCCATGGCATACCCTACTAAAACGCAGATAAAAACAAAAAATCGCATCTAAAATAGCACAGTAGAAGCCGTTCTTTCGGATAATCCTTAATGCTCTCCCTCTCCCCCCACTTGGGAATTTCGAAAAATTCCTTCTTAGTGTGCGTTTTCATGATGTACCCTAACTGTGTACGAAATTTCACCTCTTTAGGTCCAGCGGTTTGCTCTGGGCGATGATGAATCAGTGAGTCAGTCAGGACAAGCAATTTTATATATATAGATATAATATTTATTACAAGTATACAATAATTTTTGACACAATATGCCAATTGAATATTCACAGTTTAATGCAAAAAAAGACCTCACAGTTTTCAGTCGATTAGGCAGATTGTGAATGAACTTATTTCAATTTTCTTTGTATATCAATATTCAAAAGTTTCATCAGTGTCTTTTGAAATAAAATTAATTGTGTTAAATTATCTTTTTCACTGTTTGTTTATTTTTAAACTCTCTACGACAAAACTGACTTGTTATGTTTTCTCACTCGGGTTCGGACGTTCAATTGTGGATATTCACCAAATTTAGCAACAACTGTTAGGATTGTATACGGGTCTTTCTTTCTCAAAACACTAGGAAAAGACTATCTGAGTACCAATCACTTACACTCTTATGTGTGACCCTGTTCTATCGCGCTGTTCTAGCATATAAACAATCTGTTTAAATCAAATTTCTTCGCGTTTATATTAGTGTGACAGATTAAAGCTAACCTTAGAGTACTAATTCTGTGCATAAGTGTTCTCTATGACTCTATAACGTTGAAAAATTAATGTGTTTATGCACTTAATTTTTGTTTTAGAAGAATAATATATAAACTATACGAAATCTTCATATAATTCCGAATTAGATTATTTTACTTGATAATTTTTAAAAATAAAAAATTTAAAATTAATGATAATAATTGAGAATTTATTAGTAATTTATATTTGATTTAAATCATTATAATTTTAAATATTAAATAACGTGTGTTATTTTGTTACCAACATTCAAATTTCAAACTCATATCTAAAATCGAAAGATTTTCAAAAGAACAATCGTAAACTAAAATGTATTTTAACGTTTTTAACATCGAACATGTTTCTTAAAATTTGCAGTGTACACTTTGCACAAAAGTTATTTTTTTTATGTGAATTTGAAAGTTTTCTGTGAAATTAATCACTGGAATACTTAGTTTTACTCCACAGACATATCTATATAAGTAAGTAATGTAAACTAATTAATTTGTCTTTCTTCACTTACGTACAAAGATAATGAACTTTCTGCTCTAAAAAGCATTACCTGACCAGAATTTATTCGTGAGTCGAAGTTTTAATGTATTTTGTTGAATGCTCAGTCGTTAATAATACTTCTACACTTACCTGAAACTAGTTAGAATTTTTTTCTTTCCGATGTAACTTTTCATTGTGTCTGTTTAATTGAATTTTATATCTGAATTTCACGTTGCATATATTACATGAACATGGCAGGTTTTCGGTGGAAATATTTATGTAATTTCTTAAAGCAGTTGGAGTCGGGAAAAGTTTTGTGCAAATAAGACATCTACAGCTTGTTATTTTTGGGTCATGCAACGGAATCTAATTATGGATTTATTTATATGTGCACAATATATTAAAGCATAAAATATAACTGTTTAAGTACGAATGTTTTATTTAAGAAAATGAATGTTTGTGAATCGTTTGATATTTTATGTAGAGTTTTCGTTTAAGTATTTATATAAACTATTCCATAGAAACGCCACTGACAACATTCTTCAACATAGTATTACCGACATTTGCAATTAAGCATAATATATCATAATTTTAATCTCTTAATTAATAACAGTTAGTGAAAAACACTAGGTTTTGGTGTATTTACTTTGTATAACGGTTTCATTAATTAGAAAGTAAAAACACGTGAAAGATATATGTTTTGTTTCTAAATAGAAATGTCAACTATAAAAATAAAAATTGGAAAGAAAGTTTATTCTAAAAGTTTAAGCTCCTTGCAATTAGTGTTTAGTATTATTCACAGCATTAATTNAATTTATATAATTATTTTATGCACTTCTGCTATTTATTTAATTCTTTCATTCTGTTTATTTTTTTATATTAATTTTTTACATATTCTCAGTTTATCATATATATATTTTACCCTTTTGATTTGTCTCAATTTATTATTATTTATTTGGATTTTTTGCAGTTTTTTTTATTATTATTATTATAATATATATGTGAAGATTTCCTTGTCTTATAGTAATGATGATGCATTTGTGAACCAGAGGGGAGGTCAGAAGTCGGCCGCCCCTGTCACTAGTCAGGATGATATGTCAGGCGAGTGGAGGGTGTTGCTTGGGGTCGACGATAAGGTGAATGGCATGATCAAGTAAAGGAGTCTACCATATCTAAACAATATAACAACTATTTATTAAAAGAAGCAAATTGAACAAAAAAGCTACACAAATAGCGTTTCTAACCGCTTATTTTCCCGAGAGAGAGTTTTTCGCTTTTCATACCTCTTTGAATGTCCCTTTTGCCGATCTAATCTGTGGAGGCACTTAAATATTCAACTAAAGTTGTCTTATATCCACAGGAGCACAATTATAAAAAGTTTGCGACTTTGGCGGTAAGCTGTTCTCGTCAATCGTAGATCGGAATTCGGCGGGTTCGGAGAATCGGTGCGATGTCGTCGGTCCAGCGTTCGTTAAGAGACTCCCCCGAGAGGGGTAAGAACTGTCTTTTATAGGTTTTTGTGGGGAATTTCCACCACGTGATCGGATGTTCATGAGTTAAAGGTTATAGGTGTTCCAGGGATCTAAAACAAGTGACCAAAGCTGAATGTTAAGTGTAAACTTTTCTGCAAGATGATCCGTTAGTTCTGCAGAGAACAATAGATGTTGATAGTTATGACAGGAATGTTTACACAGTCCCGGCTAAGATCGATTTTTTTCCAAATTCGTTACATAAACGACAGTAAAGTAATTAAAATTTTAGTTAATAAAAGAATGTAATTTTCGTTACAAAAACTCCGGATCTCACACATTGCAATGATGATTTACTCTAATAATTTCAGGAGTGGTTGACACTGTCAGTTTTCTTGCTGCTTCCTGTTATTTGCTAAGAAATTTCCAAATTGTGTTGGCACAAGAAATTATATTTTATGTCTGTAAAGTCCATTAGTGATAGAGTAGACATGAACCAATTTATATTGAGTTATTTTTGTTTATTATTATTATTATACACTAGTGTCACAAACACAAATTAGAGTAAAACTGAAGATTACAAAAAATGTATTTTTTTATCAGAATCTTCCAGTTTTTATGGAATTCATGTTGATTATTTTTTTCAGGTATTTGGAGAATAAACTTAATATCATCTCTCTTCCAGTGCCATATGTAAAAAAATGTCATATTTGTCAATAACTTCAGATTTTTTTTCTACTATTTCTGTTTTAGATTTTATAATCTCTATTTTCATTGCCCTTATTTATATTAATTTCTATTATAAGAAATTTAAAATTTCACATATTTGATTTTTTGAAGATAGAAAAGTACATAAATAATCAAAAATATTTCAAATACAGTTTTTAAAAATAAGTTTAGAATATTAGGCGGTGAAAAGGCATGGTGATTAAGTTAAGAATGAAATATAATAATTCTATTTTATTATTTGTTTTAGTTATTTTTATATATAGTTCTGACAAATTCTGATAAAAATATTATTAAAGACAACTACAATTCAATTGAATACAATTTTTGTTAAATTTTATATTAAAATACTTTTATGAATTTGTAATATCTGAATTTATTTCAGTCGATAGAGATACATTGTAAATATTAACAAATATACTTTTTTTTAAAATGAAAAACAAATGAAATATTAAAAATATACTATGTACTAAAACATATAAAAAATTCAACTTTTTTATAAAGTATACATTCAATATAAAAATAGATATGGAAAAATTTGTATATTTATATTTTTTAATATTATAATTCTAAATATTATTATACAATTGATGATTTCAACCAAACTCTTTTCAATTGACAAAAAGTCATCCAAAAAGGTTAGATTTTTATCTGTTTAGCCTTTTGATTTCATTTTGTATATTTCTTTACTATTTCAAGAAGTACTTTAAAAGAAGAAAGATTAGAATATATTACTAAAAAATTTCATATGTATTTTTTACATAATTTAATATATATTGGGTTGTCAACTATAAACATCTATTTCTCAGTGCACTTTGCATACATATAATAGAAAAAAACTACATTGAGTCAGGGGATATTGCATTTTTCCATCTGGTTGCATTGTTATTTCATTTCATGATTCAGTCCACTATGAGGTTTGACAAAATACACATGAGGAACTTGGTGTTTTTTGAGTTCCGTAAAGGGTCAAATGCATCTCAGGCTTCCAGGAACATCAATGATATTTATGAAAATGTACTGAGTGAATGGAAGTGCTGCTGATAATTTGAAAAATTTTGATCTAGCAATGTTAACATTGAAATTCACATATAAAGTTTCCCAAACACAGATGAACAATAAGGTCTTACAAACTCTTGTGGAATCCAACACAAAGTAAATATTATGT